GGGGTGGGGGGGGGGGGGGGGGGGGGGGGGGGGGGGGGGGGGGGGGGGGGGGGTCATGTGGTACTTAAGATGGAGGTAGGGTAGGGGGTGCGGGGAATATGGAAGGGTGGTCGGTTTTTCCGTTGACCTTGTGTTGCTGCGCCGCCGCCCCTTTAATTTGGTGGAAGGACGTGTACGATTCCGGCGAGGATTGCGTGTGCTCCCGGTAGAATTCGCGAGTTCGGGGGGGGGGGGGGGACGCGGCGAGGCCTGCGTGCAGAATGGGGCTATAGTTTCCCCCCTCGCTGATCGTGTCGCCCGCCCGCCTTTCCCTCCCTCCATCTGCCGTTTAGGGGGCAGTAGCCTTTGCAGGGTTTTTGCCTGTGTAGAAGCAAACATGTTGGATAAAGTGTACAATCGGGGAAGTTGGGTAAGGGTATCGGTTAGGGAATAGGATCTGCATCACCCCTCCTTGTTCTATTCCCTCACAAACTTATTAACCGCGCGAAGGTGGTCCGTGGGGGTTAGGTTGTGTTGTGCCGCCCTTTATCCTTGGTGATGTTGTGCTTTCGCTCGTTCCTCGTTGATGACCCTTGCTCTGTGTTTCGTATGCCAATCTGGATAATGATCTGCCCTGTTTGCTGCTTGTGTCCGTTCTGCGAACTTTCGACTGTTCTCATCTTCGAACAGCTACATGAGCGGGAGCTACTACCGACAATTCTTCACTACTCCACGCGCGGAGCAGAGCTCTCAGGTACATACGTGCACCGAAGGTACTCGTGTGCACCTTCCTTACGCTGTCGGGGATTCCAAACGTCGCGCTGGGTTGTACTTCAGCGCGGGGCTTAGTATTACTTGACCCCTCTCCCCTTTTCCCTCTCGGGCATCGCGGAGCCCCCCGTTTGTTCCTTTTTGGGAATCACTGAGCTCTTGATATGCTTGTGGGTGGCGGTATTGTTGGCATTTTCTTCTTACGCTCGGTTCCCAGAGAAACCGACTGTAGGTGAAGGAATGCCCCTCCCATGAATCGCTCTCCACCCCGGCGCCCCACTGTGCCTCACTACGTCGAGGCTGGTGTGCGAGTCCCGACAGCTTCCGCTCTCAAATATGGCGATGGCGATCATACGTAGTACAAGAAAACGTTTCTCTCTCAGCATGCTCACCTCTCCCCTCCCCTATTTAGCACGAACCCATCACAACTGAACCCCCCCCCCCCCC